TGTATGCCTGAATTATCTCCTTTCTCACATAGTTTGGATACAATTTGTAAAAAGAAACAATAAGTTATTGCTCAATATTGTGAATTTTCGTTGGCAAAAATAAAAACTGTCTTAGGAAAATGTCCACTCATAGGAAGAGGCATCCCAATGACCAGCCCAGGCCTTGATACTTTTTTTTTTTTTTTGGCACCGACAAGACTTGGCTTGTGCCCAGCTTGTACTTCTAGGCAATATCAAAAGGAAACTCACTGGTCTAAGATTCACCCAGTGCAAACCAAAAGATTTTTATGTTTTTAGAACATTCCAAGTTTACAACATTTTACCTCGAGAAGATCCTTTTTGCTAATTCCCTTCATATTTAATCTTTAAACATCCCCTCCTCTGCTTTTTGCGTTACCGTAGTGACAGCTAAGTAGTGGTTTCCGAACTAGAAAAACCACTCCTAGGATTTGTAGCCTCGCCTGCTGCTGTTACTTGCTCCAATAATAATTGTGACTGTGTGTGAACAACAGTTAAACCCCAACACTTGCAAGTGTTCACGAGAGCACCAAAAACTAGGTCAGCAACATGGTGTTTATACTGCCGTTGGGCGCAATGAGCAAAAAGGGAAGACACTGCCACTGTGAAATACATTACGACTGAAAGATTATTAAAATGTATCTTCAGAGAAAACATGGCTCATAAATCAGGGCTTTCCTTTCACTAATTGGTGATGAATGAATCCTAATTTCTAGCTTAACTTTTCCTTGATTTTTGGTTCTAGTATGTGAAATATCAATTGATGTTAGATCCTTGTGTGAGACGCAGGACTAGTGAAATAATTTTACTTTAAAAAAATTTTAATCATTTGCTGAGAGGTCCTGATGACTTTAATAAGGTAGGAGAATGTGTTGAAACAAATGTTTGGAACTATGATAAAAGTATTAATATAACCTTTATCAATAAAATTGCTAGTTGGTCTTAAGTGGGATTTGGTATATGTGTTATGACCTAATTTCTTGACTGGACAGAACCAAGAGAAAAGAACAACTTTGGTTTTTTCCTTTCACTACTATTCAGTAAATATGAAAGACTGACAGTCTGTTTTAGGTGAATGGTGACTCTGAGCTGTCAGGTTGAGACCATCTCTTATTCCCAAAGGACCACCGACTAGGCACAGAATTGGCCAAAAGCAATGCAAAGGACCACTAGCAGCGCTGCCTAGACTCGAGCAATGCCGGGAAGTCAGGGGTGAGTGGACCCACGGCAGAGGACATGATGGGGCTCCTTCGTGCTCCGGCGTCCCATTCCAGAAAACACACTTGCCCACAGGGACAGGCAGCTAAGACCTTACGCTCTTGATGCTTCCAAATAAGCTCATACTGAGTATGTGTGAAGTCATTTTCATATTTTCTTTGCTTATTGGTCAAATGAATGTTTATAGTCAACTTGAAAGTATCAATGGTACTGTAAGAGTGTGGCTTGTGAACCCACGCTTTCCCCCAAGAAAGGCAAATACATCCATGCTGTCTTGTTTTTGTTTTTGTTTTCGAAGATTTTATTTATTTGACAGACACAGCGAGAGCGAGAGCGAGCGAGAGCGAGCGAGAGCGAGCGAGAGCGAGCGAGAGCGAGCGAGAGCGAGCGAGAGAGAGCGAGAACACAAGCAGGGGGAGTGGGAGAGGGAGAAGCAGGCTTCCCGCCGAGCAGGGAGCCCGATGCGGGGCTCGATCCGAGGAGCCTGGGATTATGACCTGAGCCGAAGGCAGATGCTTAACGACTGAGCCACCCAGGCGCCCCAGCCATGCTGTCTTGTTTTAGCTTTCTGTTGACGTCTAGTGCTGAGGCCCATAGGAAATAAGATACTCAGTGAGAAAAAGGACAAAATCCAAGTCTGACGAGGCCACACTGACCTGTTAAGTTCCCTGAGAACTGGAACTGACCTTGTTCCCAGGCCTAGCACAGTGCCTGGCCCACCGGGAGCAGGCAGGAAATGGGAGTGGAATGAGGAGTATAGATACATCAGGGGATGCAGGACTGGGCTGCATTTGGACAGAGAGTGCAAGTAAAAACTAGATCTCTAAAACTTAGAGAAGCTGACAGATCCCTGGCAATGCTGCTGCTGCTTCTTAGCTGTCTCGTACATTCCACCACAGTGTGAGCCAATCAAGGGTCAAAACGGCCCAGACGTTCAGTGGGAGTGTGAGGTGGGATGATGATGTATGTGAAGATCACTATTACTTCAGCTCATACAAGGATGTGCCATTCACTTAACACTAATAGACAAATGTGAGTACCACACAGTTGTTATAGGCAAATCAGGTTATAAAGATCCTGAAAGAGTTCTATAAGAAGTTGCCCTCCCAATGAGTAAAACATGCAGTTGGGAGAATGTTGGGTATCCTGCTTTTCCAATGTGCGTTAAAAAACAAAAACAAAACTTTTTCTCTTTAAATGGAATTACCAATAATACCTAATCAGCTCTGGGGCTATAAACTCTAAAATATTTTGTTGAAAATGAATAGTGTTGGAACCCTGAACCTAATTTATTTAGAGGCACTCCATTTGAGCTCATCAAGTAACCAGGAACATTTTGATAAACATCCATTCTTCCATTTAGCAAACATTTTAAATATCAATTCAGTGAAGAACGACTTCCTTTGGCTGGCTGGTATGACTAACTGCCATTAAAAACTAACAGAAAATGTAGAGAAGAGCGATTCATTTCTCAAAGTCTTTAAAACTATATATAGAAAATTCGGAAGAAATGGACCTGACATTGGGGGCAGAGTAGATACAGTGCTGCCAAATTGGTGGATGATCACGGGGAGGTTTATGTGCCCCTCCTTCATGTCTGCCGTGGAAATCAATAGAAACTTTTGCTTCATCCTAAAAGGTCATGATTTAAGAACTCTCCCATTAGTCACAGAAAGCTATGTGTAAAATCTTCTGCTAATTATTCCTGAGCCAACAGGGGATTGTTTCTTCATTTTAAGGAGTGTCACCCACGGTCCAAGAATGTTCACAGATGATGTAGCTGTAATTTGAAGCTGCATGCCCTGAGGGGAATGAACTACACATCCGGGTCTTTAATAACATACCAACTGTGCTTGTTCACAGACCTGGTAAACAAGGACCCTGTCTGAAAACTTGAAAGTTTATCTAAACATCTGAGTATTTACTATGATCAGGCATTGCTTCTGCTCTAGGTAGATCTCTAATTCTAATAAGGGCCTCCTTGATTCCCCTGGCACCTACCTGTCCCCTGCACACACACGGAAGCTGTTCCCTTCAGGTGTGTGTCTCATTGCCTTTGGTCTGACATTGAAATGGGACTGATTCATCAGGTGACTTGGAACCTCCTGGTAATATTCACACTTAACCCTGAACGTCTATGCAGTCCTGCTGGGGGAAGGCTACAGTGTTACCTCAGCACCACGGGGCTTACGTCTATACCTGTGGATGAAAGACAGAAGTGATTTAAGTGGCATAGTGTGTGTGCGTGTGTGTGTCATTCTATGGCCTTTTAAAATGTGCTTGAGACCTCTTGAAGGAAGGCACAGTGTTAAATATTTCTGCTACCTGGATTTTCCTGGGTAATTTTATGGAATATTTTAAGTTTTAGTAAATCAGAACAATAAACGAATTTTCCCCTAGAAAAGAAAAAGTGCCCACTCAAAAGTCAACCATATCTGTTCCTTTTAGGAAAAGGACAGGGTGATTATATTCTAATAAAGCATAGTTCTTTATAACTGGATTTCTCCTTTAAAAAGACTTGGTACAAAATGAACATTAGCCATGAACACACAGCAGTTCAGTAGCCTTATCTGACCTGGGACCGATTTATGTGATCAGATTTCTCTGACAAATGTATTTCATGAGTCAAGAGCATTGACTTATGTGTATAGTGCCGTTTAGTGGCCTCCATTTTTTTTTTTTTAATTTTTATTTTAGAGAGAGAGTGAGAGAGAGAGAGAGCACAAGAGGGGGGAGCGGGAGAGGGAGAAGCAGACTCCCTGCTGAGCAGGGAGCCCGATGCGGGACTCTATCCCGGGACTCCAGGATCATGACCTGAGCCGAAAGCAGTCGCTTAACCAACTGAGCCACCCAGGCGCCCCTTAGTGGCCTCCATTTTAAAGAAAGTTTTTGTTATACAAATCTCTGTAGCCTCTGAATCTATGCATCCAATGTTCAGTGTGATGACCTTTTCCGTGGGAGACTGTGGTTGAGAAGGCAGCGGTGAGGGACTAACCTTTGAACAACTGCACTTTTCTGAACACGTACATTACTAGTTATACTATCCACTTCCTATTAGAGCCCAGGGGCAAAACTAGGAAAAACTCCTCATTTCTGTCAGTTACCACCATCTTTGAGATAGTCTTCGTAGTATCAAGGATTGAAGTGGCAAAAACACAAAAATGTGCCTTGCATTATTACTATTATTTTTTTTACTCTTAAAGCAGGATAGAACTTGAGTTCTGGAAGGATGCTCATTCAACAGACAAGGAAACGGACCTGGAGGGTCCTTAGTGCAAAGGCACATGGGTGGCGAGTAACAGTATCAGACCCACCGCACGTGTCCTGGCATCGGGATGTACGTGGACCGACTCCTCTCCGGCAGCCTCATCAGCCCCACTGCATGTGAACACCAGCATTTCTGACAAACCAAACATTGAAGAAGTCACTCTTTTTAGTTAGTCTCTCTTCTTCTGGTGGCTCGAGAAGGAACTCCTGCCCCCCCACCCCCCACTGGAAGTTGAGAAGATAGTCTAGCAAGAAGAAAAATCCAATGAATGGGGATTTTAATCCTAAGCAGTTTTAAATTATTTGAGGAACTCAGTACAAAACCTTACTCAGTATTAAATAAATGGCCAAACACATTCTCCCAAATATGCTCAATCATGGGGAAAAAAGTAAGCTATCAATATTTTTGATTTCTGAAAGCCAAATTTAATAAATTAATAAATGCATGCCAGATAAAAACACAAAATTGCAACTAAAAAACCAATAATAACAGAAAATGTTCTGCATTGTACTTTTTTATTGGTGGATAATTGACTAAAGTAACAAATCTGAAAACACATTTTGCCTTTGCTGGAAACAAAGGACTCTGTCAGAGAAGAACGAGGAGAAAGCAGAAGTGCAGCGTTTGCGAGAGTCGGACGCCTATGTTCTAGTCTATGGGGATGCGGGACAGCCAGAGGTGCTGTTCCATCCATTTGTGGGCCCATTTGTAGAAGCGTCAGAAACCAAAGACCTAGAACCCAAAAGCGAGTCACGACAGATTTACTCTGCGAAACATGCGGAATTACAACCACAGACTATCCGGGACAAAAAGGCGGTGCAGGCTTGTTGTCTCCTTTGTGTGGGGTTCCCTTGCCAAAGAGGGGGCTAATCATGCAGTAGCTTGAGTTTCTCTTAACATGATAAACACCCAGGGTTACTAGAACTGGAGCGCGTGTGTTCACTGTTTTACAAGGACAGCTGAGCGGTGCTACGGAAACCGTGGAAAGTTCCTTCATTTTAATCTGGCTATCTGCCCAAACTTCTAACCAAGAAATAATTCAGCTATAAGAGCCAATTAAATTACTATAAAACCTTCCTTCATCTGTAAAACACTTTTTCCCCCGCGAACTAAAATTTAAAATAAAATGTCTTCATTTTTGATAAGCAGCTCCACCACCAGTCTCTGATATCGTATATCGTTCAAGGCGGCCATGGCGTCTAGTTCTGGAGATCTCATCAGGGTCGGGCCGAACACAATGCCAAGGTTCTCGGCGTTCATAAGATTCTCCTTCTCGTGGAGGGTCACTCTGCAAAATAAAAGCAAAGGAGCGCACCTTCGTGTAAGTGCCCACGTTCTGCACGGTGCTCAAGCACTAGAACAAAAACCAGGTTCACAGTCAAGGTTCCTGCCCACTTAACTCTTCGGCTACGTTCTTTCTCTGTCTCCCTCTTCACTTCAAAGTAAATCCTATCAATAAATTAAACTTCTGGTGATCACTGAAGCTCCCGCCCGAGCTCACTGCTGGACTGTGGGGGGTGTTTGCACGTAGCAGACCAGGGGCTGGGTCGTCTCGATTATTCCATCAGCCCTCCTTCCACACTGGCTGTCCTGTTCCCTGGATTTTTATTGAGTATCTGGGGAGGGTGGTGGCGGTGGCATAGAGAGATGGCTGAGGGCAAGCGATCTGGTCGGGGAGCTGGGTGTTCGTATTCGCTCTCCTGCTATACAGCAAAGGCCCGGACTAGGATTTGAGAGCCGTTCCTTTGCTTTAGTGGGAAGGACTTAACTGCATCCATATATGAAGCAAACTTGAATTTGCGAGTCAAGTTGTAAGCATATTGAACACAAGTTTTAGCTCCTGCTGCTTTTAAGGAGGGAAACCATGTAAATGCTAAATGCGCCATCCAGTTAAATATTTATTTCTGGGTAGCTCTTGCCGAGAGGCATACAAAATAGATGTCAAGTTCTGTCTTTTTTGTTTCTAATTGGCTTTATATTTTGAAACCCTAAAACCACTAAAACTTGATCACATAATTTAAAACAGTTTCCTTCAACTGGTAGAGAGCGAGAGTGACCGAGCAGGGAAATGAAGTTATACCACCACCCGTCTACTTAAGACATTAAACCAGAAGTAACGGAAATATTTTATTTTCTATTCCTCCCTCTACCTCTTATTTTACTCCATTTTTTTATAGCAGTTTTCAGTGGGGGAGACATTAATGCAATAATCTAAAATCCTGTCACCAAGTGTCAAGTGCCTATTTTGGAGCAAGAAGTAAGAAAAGTGAGCCTTCTGGCGAGCTGCTTTGCTCTTTATTATGCTAATGCTCATGTCCTTACAGCTACAACCTTTTCTCTTTCCACAAAAATTCAGTTTATGTCCTTGGCAGAACATCAGTATCTCTCACATATTTGCAAACACAGACTGGAACTGCAAATACGTTTACGTCAGAATCCAGTCTGTATTCGGCACTGGAGCGCAGAATATTTTTAGCATTCCTTCTCAGCTTGTGCATTCATTTATTCCTTCAATAATCTGTCCTTTCTTTCACCTTTGGTTTCATCTGATTCTTAAAATTCGGCTGCAGTACAAGGAGAAGCTTCCGAGTCTGTAACTTGCCTCTTGAGATGTGCCATGAGGTACCGCAGGGTTTCGCAGTGCGCAGGGGGCAGCAGCTTCAGTGCCTCGTGGAGGGTTTCTAATTGCTCGTCAGGATCCATGATTTCTGAGACAGCAAGGTGAATACCAAGGAGGAGAGCTTTAACAGACAACTTGTATAAATGCTTCACTGAATTCTATTCTTGTGGTGATCATCTAGGACCGGTAAGAAATTCTTTCTCACAGATCCTTGCCCACAGCTTTGGAAGATATTTTTAAGGTTCAAGTCTCAGATTGCAGAAGATTTAGTTTCAGTGCGGCAATACCAGTTACTTGGACTTTTGGGGATGGCACCCACTTGATTCACTTGAGTGCCTTAGAGTCTGGTCACCATGGAACTTGGACACTGGATAGACAGGATGTAACCACAAAGCGTTCAGACACATGTATACATGGATTAAAAACTTAGACATTCGAATGAGGTCATCTTACAACATTACAGACCTACTTAAGGGATGTTAATTTGTTCAAGATATTTTGAACATCCCAGTTCAGCGATGGTAGACAAGCTCTGCCCCTGGCAACCCCTGCCAAAGTCTTAATTGGTATTCATGCTCTTTTCTCTTTAAACCAAGAAAGGCATCACCCAGTATTTCCTTCCTTGGTTTTAATTTGCTTTTTGTTATATAAAAAAGTCAAACCTACCCTCAGAGCACAAAAATATTCTACCACTTAGGACATTCAGGATAATGCAATAACCCTGTGGAGGCAATTCTAAATGTTGGGAGTGACCGCAGGTAAATGTGGCTCTTCCGAAGTGTAAACTTCAAAGGGAACCATCCTCATTTGGACATTTTAGTTCTGTCTTGGCCCAAAACCCAGCACGTTCCTTTGAGGTCACATTGCATTTAGTACATCCGTTATTCCCATAATCAGAAACAGCAGACGTCTTTGGAATGCTGGGCTCTCAAAAAGAGCACCCTAGCACATTCCTGCTTCTCCGATGTCAGGAAGATAGGGAGCCTTTAAATGTCGGGTTGCAGTGTAATTGCAAGGGGACCCCAGAGTGCTGAGTCTCAATCAGGGGAGCAGCCTTGAAATGCTGGAAGGCCGCAGCAGACCACAATGTATCACTGAAGACACAAGACTAAGAATCCTAGTTTTCTAACGTCTAAGACAAACCGATTCAATGCCAACGCATCAGAATTTGGTTAAAACTGATAGAAAAATGAATGTGAGAGTTCCTAGCATCCGGCAGTGCAGATCTGATAAATGTCAGAATGGGAAGAGTGAAGCTTTTTAATTCAAAGAAACTTTGGCCATTTTAGAATTTCAGCCCAAAGCTTACCCAGGGTTCCTGGTTCGTTTCTCAGTAATAAAGGATGTATTATTTGCCATGATAATTGATGCATGGTCTTTGAAACTTCAGGTCTTTAAAGAATGCCAGTTCATAACAGCAATACCATCTCGGATACTGAAATTCAATCATTTAATTTCTAGAATTAAGAAAATTCCATTTACTATAGAAACTATTACTTAGTATTTACTTACAATTTTTACCATAGGACTAATTAATCTGAAACTATGTTGTTTTGGAAATTGAAAAAAAAGTAACAGTTTCCTTTTAATTTTCACATTTAATCTTTGCAGGGAGAATCTTGAGATGGTGTGAAATTAGGGATATTGTTGGTGGGCTAGCAAATAAAATTCTCTGCTCAGAGAGAGCTTATTTTCTCTCTTGGAGGGTGACTGACAATAATGAACACATACCTTCCCGTTTGTACTATATTAGAATGAGGCCAGTGCTATGGAAAAAAAGAGCAGGGTAAGAAACACTGCAAGTGTGATGGGATGCAATTTAAAATGAGGATCAGAGGTGCCTGGGTAGCTCAGGCATTAAGCATCTGCCTTCGGCTCAGGTCCTGATCCCCAGGAGCCTCGCATCGGGCTCCCTGCTCGGCAGGAAGCCTGCTTCTCCCTCTCCCCTCCCCCTGCTTGTGTTCCCTCTCTCGCTCTCTGTCAAATAAATAAAATCTTCAAAAAAATAATAAAACGGGGATCAGCATAGACCTCAATGGGAATGTAGGTCTTGAGTAAAGACTCTGAGGCTGTGGGGGAATGAACCACACAGAGATCTAGGGGAAGGGGTTCCAGGCAGAGGAGTAGCCATGCAAGGGTCCTGTGATGTTTGAGGACATGTGAGAAGCCAAATGCGGCTGAGCTAGAGTGAGCAAGAGGGGAATGGAAGGGACTGAGGTCAGAAAGGTAGCAGGACACTGTTGTGTCCGTTGCCATCAGGCTGTTGCAGGGACTTAGCATTTACTGAGAGAAATGGGAAGGTGCTGAATAAGGGCATGATCTGACCGACATTGCTCACAATATCTCTCCTCTGTCTGCCATGTGGGAAACAGACTATGGAAAGGCCAGAGTAAAAACAGACCATTCTAGTAACTATTACAAAAATCCAGGTGAGCGGGGAGCCTGGCTGGCACAGTCGGTTAAGCGTCTGACTCTTGGTTTCGGCTCGGGTCATGATCTCAGGGTCGTGGGACTGAGCCTCACAATGGGCTCCGTGCTCAGTGGGGAGTCTGCTGAAGATTCTTTCCCTCTGCCCCTCCCTCCATGCTCGTACATGCTTTCTTGCTCTCTCTCTCAAATAAATCTTTAAAAAAAAAAAAAAACAAACCCAGGTGAGGAATGACTGACTCTAGCTTAGACCAGGTAGTGGCAGTGAAGGTGGTAAGAAGTTGCTGGATTCTGGGGATAGTTTAAAGGTAGAGTCCATGGGATTTCCTGATGAGGGATGTAGGAGAAGGAGAAGAATCAAGAATGAGCTAAGTTTTGGGGTTAGGCAACTGGGAGGATGGAGCCTCCATTAAGATTATGGGTGGAAGAGGTTTCATGGGAAAGATCCAGGGTTCTATTCAAGATGTCATTGAGACATCCAAATGATCATGCTGATGGTGGATTAATCTGGTACTCAGGGAGAGGTCCAGACTGGAGATATAAATTGGAGGACCTATGATAAACTGCATTTGAATATTCTGACATCAAATTGACAGAGAATCTTCCCTGGAATTAATTTTTCTCTATTTTTTTCCTACTTAAAGGACTATTACCCATAATGTTTTCAGAGAACACAAATCTTTTGCCCTAAGAAGACCACGGCATAATTTAAGAGAAAGAAAGACAAAATGGGATGTATTTAGAAATGAACAACCACCATCGGTTGTTTCAAGTACGTGAAAGGCTTGCATGCGGAAGAGGGTGATATTAGGACCATTGCCAAGGGAGGGAGTTGAAAGCAGGCAGATCTGTTGCGCACAAGTAGGCCTTTCTGACTGTTGCATCTGTCCACCAGCAGCTGCCTGCCGAGAGAAGCGGTCATCTTGCAGTTACTGCGTATTTAAAAAAGAATGTGCCGTAGAAGGAAGTCTTGTTAACATGACCCTTTAGAAGACCTAGAAACTCTTAAGATTCTATGGTTCTCGATATAAAATTATGTTTACTCATTCAACAAGTATTTACTGAGCACCTATTATGTAAGTGCAGGACTCTTGCAGGTGCTGTGGGAAAATAAACACGAGGGAGAGAACGCCCCCTCGTAAAGGGGTTAGTCTAATAAGGAGGACGAGACATGAGTGCAACCTTTCAGCATGAAGGAAGGAGGCTGTAGAAGAGGTCCTGGCGAAGTGTGATGGGGAGATGGAGGAGAAAGACGGCCTGGGGGCTGAGTGGAACAGAGGGGAGGAAGAGAGGGCATCGGAGGAAGGTCTGGAAGGATGTGGCAATGTGGACGTGGTGTGAGCAGGAAATACGCACCTGAACCTGTATCAGTATCTAGTTAAAAGTTCTTTTTAAAGTATGTGCTGTCAATTCTTTGAGAGAAATTCAAATAGAAGGAAAAAAGACTTAGCCACACATAAGGGGTGACCCAGTGGCAGAGGTGAGGGAAAAACTCTGCAAATCCTCATCCCAGGCTTCCCTTCAGGACATTTTAAGTTGCTTGGGACAAAGAACCCTGGGTTTTATTTCTGAGTTTATCTGACTCACTCAGGGTTACACTCTGAGTCATATTTTCTAAGATCTTCTGGGAACAGAGCTCGTAGAGTCCTTGGCCAGAGAAAGATTCCCGCACACATTCCTGGCAGCGCCGTTTTCGTCGTGGTCAGGAAGCGGCCAAGTGCTGGCTTACTGAGCAGGCCTGTGAGAGGCACCTATCTTCCAGCCTTTGCACCAGGGGGTGGGGGGCGGGGGCAGCAGTGTTTTCACTGCGGGGGACAGAGAGAGGCAGCGAGGAAAAAGGGCCCGGTAGTCCGACACTTCCAGGTGGTTCAAGGGCAGTTTCCAGGGCATTATGAAGACCTTCAAGCCCTTAGATGAGATGCCCTGGCCTCCACCACCCATGTGTCCCTTTTTCATTTCCCGTAGCCACTGCCCTCCAGCTTCCAAGCTGCAGCATGTCCGAGGGAGGCTGCAACAGCAGAGCTCAGACCGCTTTTGCATGAGAAAGCTTTAATGTGAACTCCGAGTTTCTGTTGGCAAGAAATGCTAATAAATGCCAGAGAAACCCGAGCCCTAAAGAACAGGGCCCCTGTTTCCTAGGGACTGAGTGATAAAAAGGTTCAAGAGCACCTGCATCAGGAAGGGTCAGCTAGCCCTGACCATCCTTTGGGAGGACTTCCTGCCCTCCTGCCCTCCTGCCCTCCTGCCTTCCTCCCGTGGGTAAGTCTTCTGTTCTACCAGGGAAGCCAGGCACTGGGCCGAGTGGAGAGAGCGAGGGCTGGGACTAATTAGACAAATGTGAGTTGGAATGCCAGGGCCACCTCCTCCAGCGATAGGACCTTGGACAATTTACTTAAACTGTGTAACATCTCCTTCCTAAAATGATATCCTGGCGGAGTGCCCGGCTGGCTCAGTTGGAAGAGCAGGCAACTCTTGATCTCAGGGTCATGGTTTGAGCCCCACATTGAGTGTAGAGATTACTAAACTAAACTAAAACTAAACTAGAATAAAAAAAACTAAACTAAAATGATATTGTGACTGTAAAGTGCCTAACATGATTCCTGGGACCTAGTATATACTCTATAAATCTTAGCTTCTCTCGTCTCCCTTGTGTGCCTATAAAGATAAGAGAAAGGCTGTATCTATGTGTCTAAATAATGAAACAGACTCTACTGCTACGAGAGACACAGACAAGGACACAATGTTCCATAAACAATTGGATCAAAAGCAAACACGTACAATAAACGTTGATATTGTATATAAGTATTAGGCGTGGTTTTGGTGTCATGGCAATCACACATCAAAACAGTTGAAATTATAAGAAAGAATCTACCTTGATTTAGGAAAGTTTCTATCCTATGATGCACTTTGAAGAGCTCTCGGAGGTAGGACAGGGGGTTTGCTGATGTGAGACAGGAGGCCTGTTTCAGATACAAACCCCAGAACCCTGACAAATGGTTTGGAAGGTTAACTGAGGCAGCTGAGGTGGGTGTGCGGAATGAAGGTGAAACAATGTGAGGGTGTGGGGGGCAAAAGGCCTTGAACCCCAATAAGGAAGGCTTGGGTTTTTCTTCTACATAGATGAGGCGGTTGTGTAGAGTTCAGAACCTGGGTTTGAAGGATTGCTTTGTCCTCTGCAAATGGGGTGCCCTTGGCTTTGGCACAGAAGCCAAGTTTCAGTTTTACTCCAAAGTGATACTGGGGACAGGAACACTGCCCACTTGGGCCCTCAGTGTTGTCCTGGGGATCGGGGCAAACTGTGGACTGAGCAGCCCTTTGTGATGTGTGTGTCAAGTGCTGTCCATGTTCATGGCCATCAGACTTCTCTCTCTGGGGCGGAAACGTCTGGCCCACGAAACAACAACCATAAGCTCCCGCAGACAGTTTTCATGATCAGCACTGAATCCACCCCAAAATAAGAGGAGTTAAATTCCGATGGAAGAGATCTAGAGTCTTTCAGGCTCCTAACATGGACATTTGTACAAATCAGTGTAATTCTCCTGGCTGTTCTCTACGTGAGAGCTGGGCTGACCCGCAAGAAATCAGGGCTCCAGGGAACTAACCACAGAAATTCTCAACAAAAGCACTGAAGGGGAAACTAAAAATTAGAACAAAGCAAGTCTGTACTTCACGAAATTTCCAAGTCAAAAAGCAAATCAGTGTTACTAAGAAAGTGATGTTATTATTTAAAGATCAAGACAACATATGGTTTTTAAGAGAGAAAAGCAAATGACAGAAATAGCCTATCTTTTCTAAAAAAGGGCAATGCCAACACTTAAAATCTGTTAAAAATTCCCTTCTTTAAAAAAATGAAGTGTGAATTACAGGTATGAGTTTTGCACCATAAATAAAATTTGGCATATGAGCCTTTGCTTTTTTTCTCATTTGCATCTCAACTAGAACTTAAAAAACCACTTCTTGATCTAAAACAGTGCTCCTTAAAGTATGATCTACAGACCACTGCCAGTTCACAAACTGTCTGTTAATGGTCTGTCACAGGATAAGGACAGAAATTGAAAGTAAGAATTTGGAAACTTATGGGATCTGATAGAGCAACTTTTATGACTAGCTGAATCTAATAACAAAATAGTTTGGTCCTGTTTTTCAATTTTATTTTTCTAGTTATTCATTTTTATTTTGTAGAAGTGTTGGTCCTTATCTGAGGAGCACTGGGAAAATCCTTACTTTGGAAAATGAGGGTTAGCCCATTACAAAGAGGCTTCTGACGGCAGAAGTCACAAACAACCGACGTTGGAGAGGAGTTCAAAACTCTTGTGGGTGTATTAGCCATGGAGAGAGGTGAGGGGGAAATACTTAGTATGCATTCAAGAAACTCCGACAAGCCAGGGAAGTGATTACCGCGAGGAGGCATTCTGTGAGGTTATCGGGAATGCGCGCCTTCATACTTACTGGCCGACTCGATGAACTTCGGGTAGGCGTCGTATGTGATGAGTGGGATCGGGAGATCCCGGAAGTACAGTTTCAGCGCACCGGTGATGATGTTGATGTCTTCGTACATGTTCACAGAAATATCTGCCTTCTCACCATCTTGGAAGGATGTTAAAAACAATAAGTATCTGGATGCAGAGCACTGTTTTCATAACATATTTTTGTATACAGTCTTTAGAGATTGGCAATGCGTCAGTTTTTAGTATCAAATTCGGTGTGCTGATGTATATAAATGATCAATTTTCCGTGGAAAGCAAAATCGTCTTTTTTTTTTTTTTTTTTTACTTTTCTATTCTGAAGTTACTTCTTTTTCCAGGTTTAACTAGGAGGGGGGGGGAGTACAAGAGGACAGAGGTCAACAGCAATATTTGTAAATTCCAGGAGTACTTGAGAATTCCTAGGGGAATGATGTGGGATTGCTTTTTCTTTCTTTTTTAAATAAACCTAGAGGATTTGAAAAATAACAAGAAAGGCACTCCTAACTTACAAAAGGCCACCTCTGACTCACCCCAGGCTCCGACACATGACCATGACGTTGGGATGTTGTCTAAGCCCTGGGGGTAGGCAGATAGTGAGAAGTACTAGAATGAAATGAAACAAAACTTCAGAGTGCTGAAGGACCAAGAGAAGAAGTTATAAAAGAGGAGTATTTTAGAGGTGCTGGGCCTTCAGACTCGAGTAAAGCCGGCCTTCCTTTACTACCCTGCATTTACTCACTGGTTAAAATGCCTGAATTTTCATCTACAAAAGATTTAATTAGTGCCTACTCTGAGCTGATCTTATACTAGATTTCTTTTATTCCGTTTGGCTTATGAATGATTTCTAGCGATTAAAAAGCAGCCTCTTCCCTACACAGATATTAGAATGGCTAAAATCCAGAACCCTGATGACAAATGTTGGGAGAGGATGTGGAGCCACAGAACTGTAAAGTGTTGGGAACGCAAAATGGTACAGCCACTTTGCGGGGTGGACGGTTTCTTACAAAGCTAAACATACTCTTACCATATAATCCAGCACTCACACTCCTGGGTGTTTACCCAGAAGAGCTGAAAACTACTTATGTCTACACAAAAATGTGCTCACAAATATTTATAGCCACTTTCATTCATAATTGCCAAAAAATTTGGAAGCAATTGAGATGCCCTTCAATAGGCGAATAAACTGTGATGTATCTAGACAAAGGAACATTATTGAGCAACAGCAAGAGAAGAGCTATCAAGCTATGAAAAGGCATGGGAGAACTTTAAATGCATATTGCTTAGTAAAGGCAATCAGCCGAAAAAGGCTACATTCTCTATGATTCCAACTATGTGACGTTCTGGGACAGGCAAAACTATGGAGTCAGTAGAAAGAACAGTGGTTGCCAGGGGCTCAGGGGGAGAAAGGGAAGGAAGAACAGGTAAAGCACAGATGATTTTTATGGTAGTAAAAATCCTATGTACCACTGTAACATGGATATATGACATTATGCATTTGCCAAACCCACAGAACTGTACAACATAAAGAGTGAACTTCAATGTAACCTACTGACTTTAGTTATTAGTAACGTATCAATGTTGGTTCATCAATTCTAACAAATATAACTAAACTAATGCAAGATATTAACAACAGGAAACTGGGCTTGGGGCGGGGGGCATGAGAGGAGAGCTTATATGGGAAATCTCTGTACTTTCTGTGAAATTTTGTAAGCTAAGACTACTGTTAACCTGAAACTGTAACCCTAGAACTACTCTAATGAAGTCTGTTTTTCTTTAAAGAAGCCTCTTTTAAATGCAAAATACCATGGCCTATCAGACATTCGCATCCAAGTGTGAGTTAGATCACCGGTATCTGTCTTTCCTACTTGGGTTGAAATCCCGGACAGTGGCAGTACAAATTGGGCTAGACCACTTTCTGGGAGGAAAAGGCAATGAAGAATGCTTCACTGGGGGACCTTAGGCAAGTGTGCAGGTCCTAGGGGCCCGAAGACCTGGAGAAGAGGATGGGAGAGCACAAAAGGAAGGTAGAAGAATTAAGAAGGCAAATATCACCTCTATCAAAATTTTTATTCAGGACAAAAGAAAGAATACTGGTATTCTCTCCTGCCACATGGTTCCTGTTTCCATTATCTAGTAGTTATTTTTCTATGAGAATCCAAATTTCAAATATCCTGTCTCATTATAGGGTACACGTCCAATTTTTGGTTTGGAAAATAAAGTTGCCAACCTTATAGTTCAGTCATATGACAGGTTAAACCGAATTTGGAGGTTGATCTGAGAACCCTTCTACCATTCAGCTAGTTCTTTCTATAGTAAGATATTATATTCATTGTACCTTAGTTCACTCTCCTTTCATTTCTTACTCTCTAAGCCACAGCACTTTTCAGGGCCTTGACAAGGACAGCCTCAGCGTTTTTGCACAGTCTTCTCTTGCCAAGGTCTTTACATATCCTGTTTCTTTGCTACTCAACCATTATCTGGTCAACCTCTATTCTCTGGAAAAGCCTCTTTTGATCTCCAGCATCCCCCCAACCCCAACAAACTAGGTTATGTTCCACAGTTATAATTTTCCTTTATGGCACTGATTAAAATAAAATCAGTAATGATTCTGTGGTGGGGGAATCTAAGTCATTAGATTCTCCCTGGCAGACAGCATTGTTGTCCTAAGTTAATGAACATGCTGAAGAACATACCTCTGTCAAAAGCCATCTTGACATCTTCAATTAAGTCACTAAATCCTGATACTCGATACAGTCCTTCAGAATTAAGACCTGTAAAAATAAAGCAAGGGAGCTAATTAATTAGTTTCTTTGGAATTATGCCTTTTCTCCAAAGTTTAACTTCTTCCCATACTTCAGGCTGGGGAAGTAATGTGCATGAAAGAATGATTAAATATACTTGTTTAGAAATTCCTCTTTACATTTTCTCCTAAAATAAAACCATTGCACTCAGTTTTTAAACTCTGACCTATTGTTACCTGAGTGTTTGTAATTTGGCTCATCAGTCTAATTAGATCAAATATGTTGAGTCTTAAGGGAAATAATTCATCACCCCAATTATACCTTAAATTCTTTTATATAACTGAAGACTAAGCTAACCATATTAATAGGTCCATACCAGAGTTTCCCAAATGGGAAATAATAATGAGGATGCAGCTCTGTTTTTTGGCTTAGGATAGTTTTAACAGAGCATTTACCTCCTTGCTTCTTGGACCTAGAAAAAATGTAAAAAGTGAAAAACAAATTGCTATCTACATGTCAACTTCTATAGACTAGAAGATCCATCATCCATAAAAATATTTAAGCATATTTCCTATAACTAGTTAACTGTACCTTAAAATCAAGCTGGTTCATTATTTGCTAAATTAACTCATTTCAGACTTTCAGATTATTTGACATCTGAAATCATCCCCCCCTAAACTTACAGAAGACAACTGGATTATGCAGTGAAGCACCCAGAAGGGCATTAGAACTTGCATTCCTGGTGCATTATAACTGCTGAACCACACTGGAAACGCCTCACCTCTAGATTCAATTTCCCTGATGCACATGTCCACCACCATTGGTCGCTTAGTGATATGGGCTTTCACGAGTGTTGTGAGGTCACAGCTGTATACCTTCTTGACATGTTTCAAGTCTGGCTTACAGTCATTTGGGACCATCTTGGAACACTGCTTATGAACATTCAAACCACAATCTAAAAAAAAATACAGAAAGGAAAAATTCATCAATGTTTTCAGAGTTTTGAGCATTCTGGAGTGTTTATTTTAGCAAAAGACACTCCCTCCAGCTTGAGTTAGGTTTAAAAGGGGACTAGCTTCCAGTAGTTTCTGCAGAGTGTAAAAACATTCTTCCCATCTTTTCTCTTGGAAAATTTTGGTTTTAAGTCAGCAGATGAGAATTCTAGCTCATGCTTTATCACTTGCTGTATGATCTCAGGAGAGATTCAACCCAAATAAAACAAAATTAATAAGTGTTTAAATGTCTACAAAATGTAATATGCCAAATAGGCAACTTAAAATTGTCCATTTCCTTAAAGTGACATAAAAATTATATTTGATGTGGGATATATAATTGTATTTTAATATACTGGTTATGAAGAGGAATCAGATCTCCAAAAGTAAGAGTATCTCAGGGCCCTCTTAAAATCATGCTGCTCATATTCCTATCTATTCGTAAGCCTTGAGATATATATAAAATAATAAATTTAGTGGCTAAAAATAGCCGTAGTTGTTATTTACTATTAGCACCAGCTTACTGATGCCAAGCACTAGTCCAAGTGCTTTACATTACTTCCATTAAGCTCACAAAACTCTATGAAATAGGTACTATTTTTCTTATTTTATAAATCTGATGAAACCAAGCACATAAGTGTTAGGTAATTTACCTGAGGTCATGCAATGAGTGTGTAGTGGAGCTGAGATTCAAGGGTTATAGATGTTTCTATGGTTCACGATTTTAATACATATACCATGTTGCCTCTCCTGAAGTGTGTCCTTCGCTTTGTAATTTTACAACTTCTCAGATGCTAGAACTCAAACATCTTCTAGTTAATGTTAGGAGATACTTGATTTTCAACAAGAAGAGAGCAACGGAATTTTAGAAGGGACCGAGAGGAATTCAAATATTTTGCTAAATTAGAGTGAAGAGTGTTAAACCATCGCTGAATAATTTAACTAAAATAAATGTCATCTTTATGTTTTTAAAAACATAACCCATTTGATGTTTTTCATAAGAACTTGATGTTGACCCCTTGTAAATCTGATTCAATTCTATCCAGGCCTTAACGAAACAATTTGAAAATCCTACAAGTCCATGACCACTGCTTGTGGTCACGGGGCAAGCTTTAGTTTTGCTTGCTCTTTCAGCAAATGTTGGTGATTATCATTGTAATAATGACTTGGTAAAGCTGCGGTCTAGTTCTATACAGCAGTAACAATAAACAGAGATAAGGAACATTGGCCAAAATTTATAAATGGAATCATTCTTTCATTAACCATGTAGACACTGCCAACTTGCAATGAGCACGTAAGGCCCGTGTGACTCAAAGGGAGGAATTCCTATGTAGCGAGCATCTCCCATGTGCAGACAAGCTAGGTGTCAAGGGACAGTGAGTCTTTGCACACATGTGTGTAGGAGAACAGCACTGGAGATGGCATGGCCAGTGCCAACAATGCCCAACATTATCATCACCAAAGAATAGCAGCTGCTTCCTTGAATACAGAAATGGGCTTCCAGAGCACAGAGCTTGATCTATACTATGGGAGGAAATGACCCAACAACATTCTGTATACTTAGACAATGTCCAAATGACTACATCACCCAGACCCCCAATTCCTCTTTATATGTCTATTAGCTACAGATAAAATTTCTGATTCAATCATAAGGCATATCAATGGCAAAATGTCCACGTAAAAGACCTTGTTTCCCGTGAACATTTTAATGTTTCCAAAACTTCTGTAACTTCGAATTAGCTCTATCATCTATTAGCTGTGCGATTTCGAGTGAGTTACCTTTCCTGTGCCTCAGTTATGTAAAATAGGAATAATAATAGTATTTATTATCTATCCATTATGTTCATGTGAGGCTTTAATATTAATATATGCAATTTCTTATGTGTAGTAGGTTAGAAGTGTTTACCAGGACTATGCTGTTGTCATTATCAAGAAGAAACTTTTTTTTTTTTTTTTTAAGATTTTATTTATTTATTTGACAGAGAGAGAACAAGTAGGCAGAGGGAGAGGGAGAAGCAGGCTCCCCCCCGAGCAGGGAGCCCGATGCGGGGCTCGATCCCAGGACCCTGGGATCATGGCCTGAGCCGAAGGCAGCTGCTTAACCACCTGAGCCACCCAGGGGCCCCAAAAGAAACTTTTGAGAGGCCTTTTCTATGCAGCACCCCAGGGTCCATTACATGGTATTGTCCTAATCAGCTTACGGGCAGAAGCTAGGTGGAACTCTGAGCCAGTTGTTTGTCACATGTGAATGTGACAGGACCTTGATGACTGGGGCTATAGCTGCTTCCTCATCTTTACTGTTCTAATACATTTCATTTACATAAAAGTGTCTCCAAATAAGTACTTCATTTTTCTTGGCTTTTACCAAATCTAGGGAGTTTTCAGCCACTCGTTTTTCAAATATTTTTTCGGCCTCTATCCTCTTCTGGGACTCCAACAACACAAATGTTAAATCTTTGGCTATTCTGCTACAGGTCTCTGAGGCTCAGGTCACTTTTCAAAATCTACTTTCTTTCTCTTGTTTGAGTTGGATAATGTCTATTGATCTATCGTCAGGTTCACCAATTCCTTCCTTTGTCACCTCCATTCTGCTATTGAGCCCATCGGTCTGGTGACTTTATTGTTAATAAAATTTTCAGTTCTAAAATTTCTGCTTATTTTTTTTTTAAAGATTTTATTTATTTATTTGAGAGAGAGAGAATGAGAGAGAGAGCAGGAGAGGGAGGAGGGTCAGAGGGAGAAGCAGACTCCCTGCCGAGCAGGGAGCCCGATGCGGGACTCGATCCAGGGACTCGATCCCGGGACTCCAGGATCACGACCTGAGCCGAAGGCAGTCGCCTAACCAACTGAGCCACCCAGGCGCCCTCTGCTTATTTTTATCTTCATTTTCTAATTCCTATTTTTCATTTGTCTCAAGAGTGTTTATAATTGCTTGCTGGAGCAGTATTATGGTAGCTGCTTTTCTTGTCTGAGAATTCTAGCATCTAGGTCATGTCAGTATCAGCACCTGTTGATCATCTTTTCTCGTCTGAGTTGAGATTTTCCTGCTTCTCAGTATGAAGTGTAATTTTGAATTGAATCGTGGATATTTTTGAGTGTTACAAGAAGACTCTGGCTCCTATTGAAAATTTCCCTTTTAGCCGGCAGTTAACCTGTTGAGATTTAGAATGCACGTCCTAGTTCACCTCTGTAGGCCATGGTTCACATATCAACCTAGTTTACAAAGCCTTTGTAGTGCTACTGCAGTGCTCTTCTGCCCACCCTACTTGTATGTTACCCAAATGGCAGGACTGTACCCCACTTTTTTTTTTTTAAAGATATTTTTCAACAGAGAGAGAGAGACAGCAAGAGAGGGAACACAAGCAGGGGGAGCGGGAGAGGGAGAAGCAGGCTTCCCGCTGAGCAGGGAGCCCGATGCGGGGCTCGATCCCAGGAACCCGGGATCATGACCTGAGCTGAAGGCCGACGCTTAATCAACTGAGCCACCCAGGCGCCCTGTACCCCACATCCTGGAGAAGGAGAGGACCACCTCCTAGTTACTGCAGGGTGAGGATGGAAGCCAGGGTTTGCCCAGAAACCGGTTGAGAAGGAATGCCGAGCCGCATGGAACTATAGGGTACAAGTGGAAGACAAGTTAATGCTCCTGGTCTCAACGGCCCCATTACTGCAGGTCAGCAGGAAGACAGGGCTCCACCCAGACTTGGGCTGAGAGCGTGCTTTTTCTACTACGTGGTAGGGACGGAAGTCCGGGTGCCACCCACAGGCTCAGCCAGGAGGGGTACCACTTTCTTCCTGTGAGGCAGTGCGCAATGACAGGGCTCCGCTCACTCCCGGGGAGAGGCGCACCCTGGGGACTACAGGGTGGGGCGAAACCGGGTTCTGCCCATAGACTGTGGCGGCAGCATTGTGCCTTGTTCGTGACGCTCACCTGGAGGACAGCAGGAAGGATGGAACGGTTTGGCTGGCTGGGCTACATTTTCCCAGGGCTTTGGCTAGGAAGAGCAGGCTTTTCTGTGGATTATGTTTTTGTCTGTGCTTGTTGGCACTGATGGGTTGTGGGCTTCTCCCGTGCCCAGGCTGGGGGTATATGGGAGGGAGGAAAAAAGCCAACCCCCAACCACCAGGCAACTTGCTGCTGGGTTCCTTGGGTTGGCCTGCCTGCTTTTCTCCATTTTCAGAGTCTTCTCATAGTTGTCGTATAGATTTTGTACAGGGTCTTTTGTTATTAATATTGTGAAGAATAAAATGAAACCTATTTATTCACCTCATCCAGAACCAGAAGAACTCCTACACAGTATTTTAAATGTATAAAAGCAAAGCTTCGTAATTTCAAATTAACGTGTCTCATACTTTAAGTGTGTACAAAGAAGTGACAGATCCAGTTGGAAAGGGCTGTTGGTGACAGCCTATCCCAGTGCCTTTACCTTACAGATAGAGGCAATAAAGCTCCAAGAGGCTAAATGACTTGTTCAGATTACTCAGCCAGAAAGTGCTAGAACTGGGATGTAGCCTTGGCCTCCGGATTCCCAGCTTGTGCTCTTCCCACCAAGTGATGCGTGCCACTCTTCACTAGCAGTATATCACACACTCTGAGTTATGGTTTTCAGCCCTGAAGATGAATTTGCTAGTTTCAGCCTCTTATTCAGTAATGTTTATTGTACCCATTATTTGTTGTATATTCTTGAGTTTAAAAGACATTGCTATATTTTACTGTTTTATATATATATGATTTGGCAAGGACTTTTTTATATCTGTGTACTTTTATTTTTTTATTTTTATTTTAATTCCAGTTAACATACAGTATGAGTTTCACATGTACAATGTAGTGATTCAACACTTCCATACATGACCCTGTGCTCATCACAAGTGTCCTCCCTTATCCCCATCACCTACTTCACCCATCCGCCCACCAAACTCCCCTCTGGTGACCATCAGTTTGTTCTCTATTGGTAACAATCTGTTTCTTGGTTTGTCTCTCTCTTTTCTTCCCCTTGGCTCGTTTATTTCCTAAATTCCACATATGAGTGAAATCA